TCTTTTATAGTGATGCTGCACAGGGTGAGCGTCTGAGGGATGCTTCCTTTTGGCACTTCTGAATAGGGAATATTTTCCCCTTGTCAATCTGCAAGAGCCTACAAAGTATTAATAAATAACAAAAGCATTTTGAGGAAACGGAGTGTGACAGGGTGCACATTTTAGGAAAACAAACCAGCAAGAGAGAGAGAAACAGCATTTTACTGCTTCATATAAAACAAAAGATATGCACTTAAGCTTAATGACAACATCTGCAAATCAAGTTACAGGTGCTGATAGCCAATATATTACGTTAAGCAAGGGTCTGCCTTTGTCACTTTTATTTATTTTGTGTATTTCTTTTACAGAATTTAGAGTTTGCCCCAGTCAAAATTGGACATGGACGGGGTACAACAAAACAAAAATACAGCATGAAAACAAGATATAAATGAACCAATAAACCACCTCATTAACCAGGATTGCTGTTAATGATCAGGCTAGATGAGCAGGATTGAGTTCAGCAAGCCATTGCCCAATTTATCCTGGTGCTGAACATCAAAGGGCTTCCAAAATACAGGTAGTCTTTGACTTAAGACCATAATTGAGCCCAAAATTTCTATTGCTAAGTGAGACATTTGTTAAGTGAGTTTTGCCCCATTTTACTACCTTTCTTGCCATAGTTGTTAAGTGAATCACAGCAGTTGTTACGTTAGTAACATGGTTGTTAAGTAAATCTGCTTCTCCATTGCCTTTGCTGGTCAGAAGGTTGCATGTCCCCTGGGACAATGCAACCCTCATAAAAATGAGTGAGTTGCCAAGCAAGTGAATTTTGATCACTTGACCATGGGGATGCTACAATGGTTGTAAGTTTGAAAAATGGTCATAAGTCACTTTTTTTAGTTCCATTGTACCTTCAAACGGTCACTAAATGAACTATTGTAAGTCGAAGACTACCTGTAATAACCATCACTTTCAGGTGGACCTTGAAACCTCTTAACACCCAATGCAACTGTTTCAAAATCAGGGTTCTGGCTTGATGGCATTGTTTCTTGAAGAGATGAGCCACTGCGTTTTGCACCAGCTGTAGCTTCCAGGTTGCCTCCAGAGGCATCCCCATCTTGGACACATTACTCTAGTCCAGCTTGTTTTTGAATGAACTATGGTTAAGTAGGATCATAAATTGGTGCAGAGAAAGCCTCTTTTTGCTGTGGCTTCTACTTGTTGCTTAAGCAGGCTGAGTCCAGAAGAATCCCAAGTCACTTAACAACTGTTTTACGATCCATAGTAACTACCAAAACTAATATTAACAAATCTTTCTGATGTTTGTTGACAACAAGCAACTTCATATTGGCTTCGTATTTATTCTGGGGTTGTTTTGCCTCATCCAGATTCTTATAGCTCCAGACTCTGCTTTTGTTCATCCTTCAGCCTGTTAGGCTATTCAGCCTAAATGTTATGAAAGTCCTCATCCTTTTACCAGGTGAATTGTCATATAATTAACTATGTTAAGCCAAGAAACTTGGAGTCATTGAGCTGACTTAAGTCCCCAAAATCTTTACTCGGGAGAAAACAAATTCTAATAACCTATCTGGAAGTCTAGCTCATCTTTCTCCAAAACCTACTTTTCCTTTGACCATGCCTTTAACCAAACAAAGCAGATTACAATAGCATTAATGTTTATATATCGAGGAGGTCAGAGATTGCAATATATTAAAGATCTTAGAATACCTAGATAACTCATTTTTCTCTTTTTGACTTCCTTGAAAAAGAAATACAGTAGTAGGAAAATATTCCCTTTTCTATTGCAAAAAAATGACCTTGAGTTTAAACATTACTCAGGAAGTCTCAGCAATATGCAGTAATGGGGATTTGTTCATAAATTGTCTGGATAAACAAATGCCTAAAAATCCAAATAAAGAATTGTAGAGATGATCTGCAATGATCTATTATTATACTTGATGTGAACAACTATTTCATGCCTATCTTGGAGGTACATAGAAAAGCAACTGCTGACCAATTACGATCTACGAAGACTTGTGAATAAATAAATGGAAACTTTATCTAAAGAAAAGAAAAATATTCTTTGAGGCGATACTATGATCGTTAGTCTGAAAAAAATGTGCTTGGCAAATAGTGAATGGCTTCACCCCTTCCTTTAAGAATTGCTCCCAAATACCCAGTTGGCGGGTATGGCCAAAAATGTTTTTGTCCACTTTAAGGCTAAGTAAATTTCTGGGAAGAGATTATGAAAACTTGAATCTGTTTTGAATCTGTCAATTTAAAGTATTTTTTTTAGAGCTGGGAAGAGGAATGTTTTTCTGTGTCCCTTAAAACTGATGTAGTCTGATGTACCAACAGCATTTATACGGATTTTGTCTTCTATTATCTTTAACTCTTGGAATGAGTTGCAAGTGCATTTTTCATGCTTTGAACACATCTGAATTTTGAATCTTCCCCTTCTTTGTTTTTATTTCTGTCACATTTTGTCAAATTTTGGAAAACTTGAAAGATCGTACATTATTTTGTGTTCCTTTGGTTTGCCCTGATATCGGTTTATATATTTGTTAGATTTATAATGTATCCCACCTTTTGTTCATAAACTCAAGGCAGCATATATAATATTTCTATCCATTTGCCCCACAATAAATAAATTATAAATTACTCTGAGAGAAGGAGGCTGTCACTAATCGGTTATAACTTAGGTGAGAAGTTCTAAATTTGGAAAATACCTAACATGACTTAATAGAATAGAATAGAATAGAGTTGGAAGGGACCTTGGAGGTCTTCTAGTCCAGCCCCCTGCTCAAGCAGGAAACCTTTACCATCTCAGACAAGTGACTGTTTAGCCTCTTCTTAAAAATCTCCAGTGATGGAGCGCCCACGATTTCTGGAGGCAAGCTGTTCCACTGGTTAATTGTCCTCACTGTCAGGAAGCTTCTCCTTAATTCCAGGTTGCTTCTCTCTTTCATCAGTTTCCAACTGTTGTTTCTTGTCCTGCCTTCTGGTGCTTTGGAGAATAACGTGACCCTCTCTTCTTTGTGGCAGCCCCTCAAATACTGGAACACTGCTATCATGTCTCCCCCATTTCTTCTTTTCTTTAGACTAGCCAAACTCAAGTCCTGCAGCTGTTCTTCATACGTTTTAGTCTCCAGGCCTTTGATCATCTTAGTTGCTCTTCTCTGAATTTTTTCCAAACTCTCAACATCTTTTTTGTGATATGGTGACCAAAATTGGCTACAGTATTCCAGGTGTAGTCTTACTAGGGTTTTATAAAGCGATACTAATACCTCGCGTGATCTTGATTCTATGCCTCTGTTTATACAACCCAGGATTGTATTAGCTTTTTTTGGCTACTGCTGCACATTGCTGGCTCATAGTCAAGCGATCGTCCACTAGGACTCCAAGGTCCCTCTCACAGTTACTGTTTTTAAGCCAGGTCTCGCCTAATCTGTACTTGTACCTTTGATTTTTCCTGCCTAAATGTAAAACTGTGCTTTTCTCCACATTGAAACTCATTTTGTTGGATAAGGGCCCATTGTTCAAGTTTGTCAAGATCTTTTTGGATCCCGAGTTTGTCTTCTAGGGTGTTGAATACTCCTGCCAGTTTAGTCTCATCTGCAAATTTGATGAGTTCCCCTTCAATTCCCTCATCTAAGTCATTTATGAAGATATTGAAGAAAGAGTACTGGGCCTAAGACTTTGTTGGCATATCACACCCTTCCCCAAAATAAAAGAGAAACGATTCTCTATCTCCCCTCCACCTTGAACAATGGCACTCAGTGACAGTGCTGAGACTAGCCCTGAGGTTGCGGCCCAGGCCTCAGTTTCAGCTCTAGCATCACCACTGCCCCGCAAAAAGGCCTCTTCATGGCCGTTCCCAATGGGCACAAGCCTTGGGGAACAACACAATGGCCCAGGATCTGCCATGTACTACTTATTTTCAGGTTGTGTTCTCTCTCTGTTGAGAGGCTGCTCCAAGGCCTTCGTTCTGGAAGCAGCTTTAGAGAATGCTCTTCAATAGACTCTGCAGCCTCCAAAAACCACAGGAAAGCATGCCCCATTCTCATGCAATTTTTGGAGGTTCCATAAGCTACGCAAAAGCACCATCCTTTCTCTTGTGGCCTGCACAACCTCCAAAAATCACATGAGAATGGAATGTACTTTCAAGAACAGTTGGTGCCAGGTGTTGGTAAATGCTGGCATATCACTCAAAATGTTGTGACATGTCGCTTTTGACACATGTGTCATAGGTTTACCGTCACTGATCTAGCCAATGCTTTAAGTAACTAGTCAGATCCACTCTGGTCACTATATGGACAAGTAACATCCATTTGGACCTGCCCCTGGCGATCCACAGCTCTTTTAAGGAGATTCCAATGAGATTCCTTTGGTAAGTTGCAGGCGCCTTCAACAGAGAGATAATACAAGCTGAAAATAAGCAGTGCATGGCAGATCTTGAGGAGCACTGTGCTATTGCGACAATTGTGTTGTTCCCCAAGGCTTGTGTTCCTTGGGAACAACAATGAAGCAGCCTTTTTGCGTGGCAGTGGTGATGCTACAGCTGAAATCGAGAGAGGGAGAGAGAGAGAGAGAGAGAGATGCCATCAGAGTCTATCCACCTTATTCATTGCCTTCCTTCTTCTTACCCAACTTTGCCAAATGTGGTTGTTTTTTCTAGTCTGCTCATCTGCTCATATCACAGGTCCAAAGTATGCAAATTTCTGGAACAGTTCATCTTTATTAGTATTTATTTTAATGCTTGCATAAAATCAGGTGCTTAATGTTGGTTAACTTAGAAACTGCCGTCCTGTAAAAGTGTTGGTGAAAGTTGTCCTTTCATATTTTCACACTGAATATCCTGGTCTTGTTGATGTCCTTTGTATAGCCATGAATTAAAAACAAAAACAAAGCAGCCAGAGGACCATCTGTGTCATTGTCTCTAGCTGTTCAGAAACTTGACAGTCTGTTTCTGGTCTTTGAGGAATGGCTTCTTATCTCTGTTTTCCATTTATTTCCACCAGTTGTGATCATGTGTGCCAGCAGTGACGCAATACGGAACATCATGTTGGCTGCACATCGGCAAGGAATGACTAGTGGAGATCATGCTTTCTTCAATATTGAACTTTTCAACAGCTCATCATATGGTAATGTAATTTCTGTCTTCTTGGATTGCAAGATTTTTCTAAACACACTAACATTTTAGTAATGGTGTCAATCTTTAAGCAAGTCATTGTAACCTTTCAAACAAGCATTTGAGTTATGTCATTTGGCGCAAAAAAAAAAAAAAAGTAAGCAAGCAGACCCATAGTTAATACAGTGGAAATTAATTTCGTTTATGGTTGCTTCCCGTGCCGTTTTCAGAAATTTACTCTGCTGTATAGTGGCTTACTTAGTGAGAAACGGTTGTTTGTCTGAATCCTGTGTGAGCTCTATAGCTCAGGGGTGTCAAACTGGTGGCCCGTGGGCCGGATGCGTCACACGCAGGCCACGGCCACCCCAGTTCTGCAAAGGCAAAAAACGTCGTGATACGTCACGTTACATCACGTGACACGATCGAGTTTGACACCCGTGCTATAGCTGGTTTTGAATATGCATTACTGTGATGCAAGACACAGCATCACACACTGACTGACTGAAGCATCATTTGGTCTTCTTGAACTATAAGATTTATAAAAGGTCTACCAGATAAGCTTACCGTGTTTCCCCAAAAGTAAGGCCTACCCACAAAATAAGACCTGGCTTGATTTTGGGGGGTGGGCCTAATGTAAGCCTTACTCCCAAAATAAGCCCTAGTTTTGGGGCGAGGCACATACCTAAAAATCAAGCAAGGGTGGGGGTGGAGCTGCCCCACAAGCTCTACTCCCACTTATCTTGCAGCCAGGTCTCTCCTCACTGGCCCACTTCTGCAGCATCTTCTGCAGCCAGGCCTGCATTTCTCAGTCGCAGGCCTTTCCAGAAGGCCTGTGCAGCCAAGAACTGAGCTACGGATTCAATCCATAGCTTAGTACTTGGCTGCATAGGCCTTCTGGAAAGGCCTCACTTCAAAATGCAGGTCGGAATGCAGCTGCAGAATGAAGCTGCTCCTTCAGCCCCAGAAGAAGTAGACCTGCTGGTCGGGGCTGTCAGTGCCGGAGGTGAGTAAGAAATCCCCCGAAAATAAGACCTGGTGCCTCTTTTGGAGGCAAAAAAAATAAAATAAAAATAAGACCCGGTCTTATTTTCAGAGAAACATGGTCACTCCTAGTAATTACATAGGCACGATTCTTCCATTTGCTTGGTAGCGATATGCAAGTGATTTGTGATGGTCTTTCAACTTTTCAATTTAGCCTGTACTCCTGGACTTTCATTGTGGTCTCCTTAAAATGCTAACCAAGCCTGATCCTGCTTAGTTTCCAAGCTAAGAGAAAGCCAGGTGCTGTCATCTGCTGAGACCTAAGTTAGTACTGATTGATTGGTTAATTAAATGCCATTATGTCAACGTTGATTATTAGCAACCGCATAGATTGAGCGTCTCCAGGACGATCTGCCCAGCCTGGCCAAGATTTTCCAATGGGGGCTCATCACTGCTATAATCAAGTTCATCTGTCCTGCTGCTGGTTGTCCTCTTATCTTTCCTTCCACTTTTCCCAGCATTATGGATTTCTCAAGGGGAACTGGCGTGTCCAAAGTTTATTAGTTGAGTTTGTCATTTGTGCCTCAAGGGATAGCTCTGGATTAATTCCCCCTGTTCTCCTGTAATGGTTTGTGGGAATAACCTTGGGAGGCAGGAGGAAGTGATGGTGAGATAAGAGGTCAGCATCTGAGCCCACAGAAGGAATGGGAACATGGCAAATGTCTCAGAAGGGATCCTCCCTAGTTTTATAGAGTAGAAAAGTGAGAGGGAACAAATATATTTTCAGGTTTTCAAGATTCTGTTAATGCAACCTTGGGATAAAGATAGAGCTAGTACTTCTGGGTATGCTTCTTGTCTGGACTACCTTGCAAGGCTGACATTTCCAGATGTTTTAATTTACTTTACTGCATCCAGTTTTGGTCACCACGATGTAAAAAAGATGTTGAGACTCTAGAAAGAGTACAGAGAAGAGCAACAAAGATGATTAGGGGACTGGAGGCTAAAGCATATAAGGAACGGTTGCTGGAATTGGGAATGTCTAGTCTAATGAAGAGAAGGATGATGGGGGGATATGGTAGCAGTGTTCCAATATCTCAGGGGCTGCCACAAAGAAGAGGGAGTCAAGCTATTCTCCAAAGCGCCTGAAGGCAGGACAAGAAGCAACGGGTGGAAACTAACCAAAGAGAGAAGCAACCTAGAACTAAGGAGAAACTTCCTGACAGTGAGAACAATTAACCAGTGGAACAACCTGCCTCCAGAAG